TGTCTCAACAAAAAAAAAAAAAAAAGAGAGAAAACTGATTAGCCAGTGAAATTGCTGGGATTTTTTTTCTTTTTTCTTTGTAGGTCAAAAATAGTCAAATATTAACAATTTCATGTGGTTATTGTTTCTCACATGAGACAAAATTTGTCCTACTGAGAAGTGAAATTTTTGCTTTTGCTATATGTTTAATTATACTTTGAAGGAAATTATCTTTAAATGATTATTATTTAAAGTTAATATTTGTATTGTTAATTTAATTTTTGGCTAAAATGTTACTTCTTGAGCTAAAATAAGTATTTTATGTAATTCAAGAAGCAAAAGTTTGGTAAAAATTTCTTCATGCATTAGTGTATTCCAGGCAAATTAATGACTACAGATTATTCTATGACATTCAAGAAAAATTAAAGTAGAAATTAACAATAGAAATTAATGAATGAATATCAGTAAATTAAATTATGTATTGTAAAGCACTTTTCTGCTATGGGACTAAGGTTTGCCAGTCAGTTAATTACATCATTAACGTATTTGGGATAATAGGCACTGTAATTATTTTTGGCACATAAGACTACCATGTAGGTCCATTAAAAAGAACATATCACATTATCAATTTATAACTGTTCAAGTGGGTTGAAAAAATTATCTTTCCCCATCTGCTGTTATGTAGATTTAAATGTGGATTCCAAATCTCCCACACTTAATGTATTATATATATCAGTATATAATAGAAATGTTTCTGTGGCTACCACTGTCAGCCACTCCAGAGTGAGCACAAAGATGACATTTCACCGAGTACACAGGGCTTCATTTCAGAATATAACCCTGTTCTCTTGATTTAAATAAGCTTTGTTTTTTGCTGGGGTAGGGCTGGGGTTGCACTCTGAACGATGGAACTAATCTGGATTATTTTAGTTTACCTCATTTAAAATGATGCCTAATGCAGATAGTGAGATTAATTTTACCTCTAACCTTGCATGTTAAACTTTTGTTTGTATGGACTTTGAAGTAATAAATATAAATGTTTGTGTACATGACAAGACAAACTTTTCTCCAAAGGTAAGTTCTTCCATATGAATTATACTTTGGA